GAATTTCCATCATAGCAAATTTCAGTTGTCCAAACCTAGTGGAATCGACCTAAAGTATCACTTTCCTTGGCTCTTAAGCTGCGTTTTTCCGAGAAAATAGAAGAAAAACGCGCTCGAAAGCTTGTAATCTATTGACAGAGCAAAAACGTGTAAGTAATCGGAACCGATCATCATGCGGGTTTCAAATTCACGCGAATGGAAATGATGTGCCCGGAAGGTCGATAATCACCCTAAACTTTTGATATACGAGCGTTTTATTCAACAAATATGATATATGCGGATGACAAACGGTGGAAGCTCGGAAGAAGCTCGAAATTTGCCTGCTACAACTAATGTCGACTAATATTCGCATTCGTCATCATCCGTTTGGGCGGCTGGTGATTACTTCATTTTTGCCAAATAGAAATGTCGTTTTAGGCGATGACAAAGTGCAACTTTTTCCAAGAAATCTCAGCCGAAAAGAAAAATGTTAATGGAGAATGCGAACGGAAGACTGGAAAAAGTCCTGCATTTAACAGTGCCTTATTTAGTGCTACCACTTATTTTATTTTGAGCTATTAGTAGATTATTTGCATCCAGCCTGACTAGTAGAAGTTGATTATTTCAGCTTGTCCTCAGCATATCAAGAAACGTAATGTTTTCCTGTTCGTTTTCCAGGAATTTGGGAAACAACCAGCTTTCGACCATAAGTGACGGCTCATTTCCCGTAATGAACAGCCTGCTCATATTGTAAGTATTGCGAATCAGGCCAAATATGCGCGTTTCTTTGCAGGATACTCTGCATACTGCAGATTCAGGCTACTTAAAGTGTCATTGCGATTTCCCCGATGATTTATGACGCGAATTTATTCCAAGAGGGAATTTCAAACTGAAATTACAATGAAAAGTAGATCCGCTCTAAGCCATGTTTCGCTACGGAAAACTTTGCGTTGAAAAAGCTGTTTGGACTGATTAGGGTACATAAATTAGTTTACCATCTGAAGTTTCTGATAAAGAAATTGGCCTTCTTGGAGGGCCTGATGGTTGATGAAAAATTGAAACTTGCTACAGTTGTTGGCACCCCGAGAGTTTTTGGCACATTCTTCATAAAATAAGTAAATTTAGGGTCTCTAAAATATCGATTGACATCACAATAATTTTCTTCATATCTGACATCATTGTCGCTATGGTAACCGTTAAAACTGCAACCTAACCTGTAATTGGGTTTTGTTAATGTCAGTTCAAAGAGCTGTGTGTCGTTGGGTCTCGTAAGGTCAGGTGAGTTTTTCACAATTTGCTAAGGATCGATAGGAGTTTGGTGGCATTTAGATATTGTTCCGAGCGGGATTATTCACGATTATATTTATTTCTATTGATGGTAGAGGCAACAGAAGGCTTTACAAACGTAAAACCCTAGATAAAATACGCGGGAAGGTGTAATTCCTTTGGTGCCAATAACTGTCTTTTATAAAATAGAAAAAAATAGTGATTGGCCCATGGGGCCAATGACTGGGTTTTGGTTATGTTTTTTATTAAAAAGCGCAATCTTGTTGAAAGCCATCAATGTAAAATTTTAAACAATGAATGACTTGAAAAAAAGTTTTTTTGTGGCCTAGACAGTTGTTGGCCCAGTGCCAATCATTGTGTCTAATATGTGCCAATAACTCGATGTTTTACAGAATAATGCCGAAGGTAGTAAACTAAGAGCCCTGCCAGAAAAAATATTCAGAAGAAACTCTTAAACTAGCCTTAGAAGAAGTTGAAAATGGTGGCAGCAAGAAGGCCGTGGCCAAAAAATATAATATTCCTAGATCAACCTTGCAATTCAGGAAAAGTGCAAAATTCTCCAAAAGATCTCACGGACCTCCACCAATTTTAACGCCGGCAGAAGAACAGCTCTTGGTCAAATGGGCATCAGATT